GTAACAGGAGCAGTCTTCCATATGTATAAATGGAAAGGACATTACCTGCATTTACTGAGATTTGCTCCCATACAATGAACACGTTAGTTGGTATATACTGTGTTCAAAAGCGCGGGACAAATCTGTCTATGGATATATTAGAAGTATAAATAGTAGGACTAAAGGAAACTTAACTTAAGCGGGGTTATCCAGCATAGTTTATCGAAAAGTTTAGGTAACCTTTAAGGCCTACATTATATTTCCGATATCATGTTTGGGCAGCCTGGATGCGGGCTATAAACGGCGGTCAAAATCCTACCTACGTAAACAGTTCGCGCTCCATGATGTACACATTTTCCTTGGCCATGTTCTCGGTTTACTTTATTTCCTAACTTTTGCTGTTGTTACTTGGTAGCATTACTTATTAGACTTTGTGGGCCGGTTTAATAAACTTACTTACCTTTTTGGCACAAATAATTTTTTCTTGTTTTCTTATACACTACCCGCGTTTTGCAGCAGGAGTAGGCAGCTTACGGAAAACTGATCACATCTTGTTTGTGCATTCTTTCTTCTACACTGTCAACTCGAAGTATAGCAGTACACATCTTTATTAAGTGTTGTTAATTTGAACTCATTTTTTTCGCGTGAAACGAACTCCCTTTTTCGCCCAATATTGAGCAGTTACATAACTAAAGCAAAATCAATATTGACTATCAAAAGAAGAAGATTGTTTTAGTTTTTTTCTGTCTTCGAGGGTTTTGAAGCGCACCCAAGAGGTGCTTTACCAGTTGACCCAACTTTTATAATTACCTGTAAACCGTCTATCAATAAATAAATAAAAAGGCACTCTCTTAATGGAATAAAAAAACCCTACATTTTGTCCATAGTAGAAATTCTGCGGCCTGATCAATAATCACTCGTTTATGAACAGATGCGAAGTTTTGCCTTCTAGGTATCAGGGTATCAGGTATCCAGGTACTGATCTTACTTTTTTAAATGCCGATCGTGTCCTTGCTCGACCGTAACGCATCTCCTTTCACGATTCGTAGAACGCAGAGACCGCATTTAATTCATATTTACCGTCTTTTCTGTGTGCCTAGGGGAGAGGTGGTGTACAGGCTTGCAATGACTGCTTGTGCAACTATGTCAGTGAAATTTC